AACTACTACATAGGGCCAACATGGACCAGAAGGAGATCAGAATTATTCAGAATCTATACTGGAACCAAATGGCAAAGGTGAGGATTGATCAAGACCAATATACGGATGAATTTGAAATCCGGAAAGGTGTCCGCGAAGGCTGCATACTCTCTCCGATGCTTTTTAATTTGTATGTTGAAAATATATTTGCGGAAGCATTAGAAGATACGGAATTAGGCATTAAGGTGAACGGCATACCAATTAGCAACCTACGCTATGCGGACGACACAGTGATTATAACTGATAATTTGGAAGATCAGCAGTTATTACTGGATAGGGTGAATAGCATAGGTAAAAAATATGGCCTCAAAATCAACATTTTGAAAACGAAATATATGGTCATTAGCAGAAACCCTCGTGTCTGTTTTAGCTTGCGTGAAGGAGGAGCTCTGAATTGAGTAGGGGCCCTTCTGTACTTCACGGAAGACAAATGGGCGGGGGAATCCTCAACCTCGACACGACGCGTCCCAATGGCTGATAGGGAACGTTCCTATAGATATATAGGACAGGTGTGAATAAGGTCTTACCAAATAAGCACCCGCGGATCAACTGAGGATATGGCATAGGGCAGCAGCTATGTCATTAGTGATTCAAGGCTGAAGGAAAATAACCTCCTCTCAGGTTTGATATCACATATTCACAGGCGGCAATCACATAATGATTTAACCGGCTGTGATACTGCGGTTACAAATCACCAACCCGCCTGGCCAGCGTGGTGATTTAAGGCTATTTTTCCCCAAACTATGTCGAATTTAAAACAAAAAGGAAATGTACCCCAGGTGGGTAGGAGAAATCCGGAATCCCACATCGGGAAACCGATCAGCCTCACGGATTCTGGGGGAGGCAAAAGCTCGACAAGAACAAATAAGAGAAAACCGAAACTGAAAGAACCCAACAAAATACACATAGCGACATATAACATCAGATCCATGGCTCAAGATGAAAAACTGTACGAACTCGAAGAGGAATTAACTAAAATCAAATGGGACATTGTAGGGTTGTCAGAGGTCAAAAGAAGAGGAGAAATGTGTCTAGAACTAGAATCAGGAAATCGCCTATATTACAAAGGAAAGGAGGAAGAAACATACGGAGGAATAGGATTCCTGATCAAGAAGAAAATTAAACAAAACGTAATCGAGTATAAGAGCATATCAGATAGAGTAGGATACATAATACTAGAAATTAACAGGAAGACAAGAATGAAACTAATACAAGTATATGCCCCAACAACAACACACGAGGAGGAAGAAATTGACAAATTTTATGAGGATATCACCACAGCAATGGAAGACAAAAACATAAAAACAACGATCATTATGGGAGATTTTAACGCAAAAATCGGAAAGAAAATGGAAGAGTCAGAAAACAAAATAGGAAACTATGGACTTGGAACAAGGAATAGTAGGGGTGAGAAACTACTAGAATACTTAGAACAACAAAACCTTCATGCAATAAACACATACTTTAATAAGAAGCCAAACAGAAAATGGACATGGGTCTCCCCAAATGGGGTGACAAAAAATGAAATAGATTACTTCCTCTGCCAAAATACAAAAATCTTCGAAGACGTAACTGCACTTAATAAATTCTCAACTGGCAGCGACCACCGCATACTACGAGCCAAAATAGAAATAAACAAACTACAGATGCAGAAAGCCGGAAGAAAACCAACGGCTATTGACCATAGCAGAATAAAACAAAACGCAGAAGAATATAGACAAGCTTTAAGGGAAAACTATAAACACCAATTAGGAAAGGAAGAGTCGGAAATTAATAAAATTAATAAAGAAATGAAAGAAAAACTCTTAGAAGCGGGAATGAAAACCGCCAAAAAACTAAGAACCAAAGAAAATAGATTAAGTAGCAGGACACTTCAATTAATGGAAAACAGACGAAAACTAATAAGCGAAAACAAAAGAAACACAGTAGAATACGTAGAACTAAACAAACTAATTAGGAGAAAAGCAAGAGAAGATCTGAGAACATACACTGAAAATGAAATTGAGAAAGTAATTGAGAGAAACAAGGGCCTAAAATGTTTACGACCAAATTTAGGGAAGCCTCTACTCATTTCAATAAAGGATGAAACAGGAAGGGAAGAAAGGAGAAAAGATAAGATATCGGAAGAAGTAGAAAGATTTTATAAAGAGCTATACACCTCAAAGAAAGACGCAAACGTAAACACACAAGAATATATTAAAAAAACAATCACTAATGTAAACTCAGAAACACTGCCAAAAATAGAAAATTATGAAATAGAGGTAGCATTATTACAATTAAAGAACAATAAAGCACCGGGACCGGATGGAATCCTTGCTGAAATGCTGAAAGAAGGGAAAGAAGAAATCTTGCAAACACTGCGAAATCTATTTAACCAGTGTCTACATAGAGGAGAAATACCCGACGAATGGAACGAAAGTCTTACAATCCTGCTATTTAAAAAAGGAGACAAAAAGGACATAAAAAATTACAGACCCATCTCACTGCTGTCGCAAACGTACAAATTATTCATGAGGATTATCAACAACAGGCTAGCACACAAACTTGACTCATATCAACCAGTAGAGCAGGCAGGATTCAGAAAAGGATATAGCACCACTGACCATCTTTTAACAATTAGGACACTGATAGAGAAAGCTAACGAATATCATTTAGATCTGCATTTAGCATTCGTTGACTATGAGAAAGCTTTTGATAGTGTGGAAATGTGGGCAATAGAAAGAGCTATAAACAACTGTAGAATAGATTCCAGATACAGAATGCTAATACACAATATATATAAGAAAGCAACAATGACAGTACAATTGGAAGAAAACACAAAACCTATACCAATTAACAGAGGAGTGCGACAGGGCGATGTTATTTCTCCTAAATTATTTACATTAGCACTGGAAGATGTTTTCAAAACAATGGAATGGACAAACATGGGAATAAACATAAATGGAAAGAAACTAAACCATCTAAGATATGCAGACGATGTAGTAATAATAACATCAAGTTTTGAAGAACTACAAACTATGCTAACCGAACTAGCCAAGGAATCTGAACAAATAGGCCTAAAAATGAATCTTACCAAAACGAAAACAATGACAAACACACAAGATAATAGAAACGTAATACTAAATGGAATCACAATAGAAGCGGTTAATGATTATATATATTTGGGACAGATAATAAAAATAAATAAGGAAAACCAAACAGCGGAGGTAAAAAGAAGAGTCAGATTAGCCTGGGCAGGATTTGGGAAATTAAAATGGGTCCTAAAGAATAAGAAAATACAACAGTACTTAAAAACAAGAGTGTTTGACCAGTGCATACTCCCAATTCTCACATACGCATGCCAAACATGGACTCTGACCAAAGCAAACATGGATAAGATAGTGAAGACACAAAGAGCCATGGAGAGAGCAATGTTGGGAGTAAAATTAAAAGACAAGAAGCAAAACATCTGGATAAGAAACAAAACAAAAGTCAAAGACGCAGGTCAACATATAGCCAGGCTAAAATGGAGTTTCGCAGGTCATAACGCCAGACAAACAGACAATAGGTGGAACAACACGATACAACATTGGAGACCATGGACAGGAAAGAGAGCAAGAGGACGACCCCAGATGAGATGGGGAGATGACATTAGAAAGATAGGAGGAATACACTGGAAACAGAAAGCACAAAACAGAAGCGAATGGAGGAAACTGGGGGAAGCCTATGTTCAAAATTGGACGAATTAAAGGGCAAAAGAAGAAGAAGAAGAAGAAGCAGAAACCCTTTAGAAAACCCGATAATATGCATAGGTGACAATCGTATAAATCGCGTGAAAACTTTTAAATACCTTGGCACCACTATCAATGTCTAATCGGATCCACAACACGAGATAAAAACCTTAATACAAATGGCAAGACAAGCTTTTGTGAAATTCAGACCGCTCCTATGTAATCAATACCTAAACTTCGAAATACGCTACAGAATAGTCAAGTGCTACATATGGTCCATCTTGCTTTATGGCATGGAAACGTGGACTTTGAAAAAAAAAAACAAACTTGAAGCATTTGAAATGTGGTCATTGAGAAGAATGATGCGCATACCTTGGGTGAATAGAGTTCGAAACGATGACGTCCTTAATAGAGCCGGCGTGAAAAGAGAACTCTTTGAATTAATTAAAAAACGCAAGATTGGTTACCTTGGGCACATTGAGAGGAGCAAAATATGAAATACCACAGTTAATCCTACAAGGGAAGATCGAAGGTAGGAGAGGTACTTTTGTTTGATTACACCAAAAATGTTCTATACAGATCTATTTTAATATTATGAATGAATATCAAAAATGCAAAAGAAAACGTTTTAAGCCTTAGTATTGTGTACGTTATTTTCCATGAAAGACGAAACTACTGAACGTCCCAGCGGCTCCAACAGCCCTAACTAAGTTAGCGGTTGGAAAAGGTTTGGAGCGGAGGGTGCTAAAAATCCCCGAAAAAATCAAGCTACTACAAAGAGCTACAAATGCATATTACTTCATACAATGTTAGAATGCTTATATCAGACAAGAAGGTAATGGAACTGGAGAAAGAACTTAAAAGAACAGAATGGGACACCATCAGCCTCAGCAAAATAAGACGAAGTGGAGAAGCCCAAACTACTCTAAAATCACGACAGGTATTTCACTGTAGAGGTAAAGAAGACACTTAAAATGGTAGAGTGGGATTCATTATACATAGAAAGCATAAACAAATTATAATCCAACGACTGTAATCCAACGGATTTGACTGATTTTTAAGGTACAAAAAGAAAATTCTAAAAACAATATAAATACGATAAAAAAAATTACGTTATATAAGATTATGTAGTTTTGAGTGTATATAAATTATTATTAAATAATAAAATAATGAATTTAAAATATACAGATATTAAAATTAAACTGAAATTTATAAAAAAAAATTGTTAGTAATAGCGTTCATGTGTTTTAGGCTAGAGTACATAATAGATGAAATAAAATCAACTGAAAAAAAATATGTTGACGATCTGGCTAAAGTTGTCAAGGTAATAGAAAAGCCTAGTTATACTTTAAAATTACTCTTTTTTATTCTATTTTAAGACATATAAACCATGGATTGAGAAACATACACCACTCGAACTTAAGGACTACCAGGGCTATTTGTTTGGAAATATAGATAAAATTCATAGGAGGCAAAGAAAGTTCTTAGAAGATCTAAATAGATGCGGCAGAGATGTAAACGACGTAGTGGAATGTTTTATAAAACACGTAAGTATATTGTAATGCCTTGTATAAAAAAAAAGTATTTCTTTTCCAACTTACACATTTATTAATTCTTAATCTAATCCAGATCTAGTTCTTAATCCAGATCGGTCACGTAATAAATATTCACTCGTCTGGCTCCAAAAAATTTATATATTATCTTACAAGTAAAGGCCGTACTATAAGCATGACAGAAGTATATAAGCATAAAATTTTGCAAAAATAAGCAAAAGATTTCTGAAACTAACTAGAAAGTTTCGGAACTGTCCGTTCCGAATGTTGGCGATCATTCTGGCTATGATGACTTTGTTGGTTGCTATACGAAATAGCTGTGTTGAGGTCTTTCTATACCATGCTCTCAGGTTAGCAATCCAGGATATTCTTCTTCGTCTTGGGCCCTTTTTCCTTCAATTTTACCTTGCAAAATGCATTGGAGTAGCTCGTCTGGCTTGATTTCTCATTATATGTCCCAAGTACTGCTACTTACGGCCTTTACGATGTTGACCAAATCCGCGGTTGTGTTCATCCTCCATAGTACTTCTTCATTGGTGACTTTGTCTGTCCATGGTATCCTTCAGGATCCTTCTGTATGACCATAGCTCAAAAGCCTAGAGTTTTCGCATTCAATATCCACGTTTCTACTTCGTACATAAGCATTGAGTAATCGTAACATTTAAGGAGCCTTATTTTTGTTTCTAGGGTGAGGTCATGGCTCTTGAACACAGAGCTCATAGCCGACATTTAATCTCTTGATTATTGTCCCACGACTTATTGATTATAGTTCCCAAATAGTTGTACTGTGAGACACGTTCAATTCTCATTTGGTTCACATATAGATTTATGTTTTCCTTGCTGACGAACTTTAGCTTGGTTTTTCTGGTGTTTATATCCAGTCCATATGTTCTACTTGCTTCTGTTATTTTGTTTATTCTGTTTCAAGTTTTGCAGCTCTTCAATTGTATTGAAAAACACTATTGTAATATCTGCATACCCAGGTTATTGAGCTTGATTAGATGTATTGATCATTATCAATATCTTTTAGAGCCTCTTTAAAAATGTTCTCGAAAATGTGACCAAAAATTTAGATTTGAACAAAACACATTAACATATTAATATATGTTTTAATAGTAAATTTTATACATAACACACATATTATTTTTACAATTTTTTATTATTCCTGACAATCGGCATAAAATCAATTAACAAGGAGTGTCTCCCTCCTATCTGTATACAGATAGAAAAATATTTTTTGGCATCTTCAAATTTGGACAAATCTATAGATACGAAATAATTAGAAAGTTCTTTATTTTTCTTCTTCTTTCTCTTTTTTCTTCTTCTTTCAACTGGTGACATCTTATGCCCACTGAGAGGCGTCGGTGAAGATTTTCTATTTATCCATTTTTTCCGCTCCTTTTGGCAGTCAATTATTCTTTCATTTTGCTCATGATTCTTTCTCTATTCCTGTTCACTTGTTGAGACCGTCTTTTCATTTGTCTTCCTTTCTTTTTGCTTCTTATTGTTTTTGCTTCATATATCCTTTTGACCAGTCTACTATTTTCCAGTACCAACTTGCTCTTTGGTGGTTTCTGTGTTCATTAACATCTTTATTGTTCATATCTCCTCGATCCATATGTTTAGAATTATCTGTAGTTTCTCTACTGTATCTTTTATCAGTTAAATAACGATCGCGAGCAAAAGTCCCTCTATTATAATGGGCAGCAAATTTCTGTATCTTACACTGGTTTGGAATAATTTAGTCCCCTCCTTTGTATTAAGAAGAGTAGAGTACTAAGCATTTCTCTTGATTTTATTCTATAAATATGTATTAAACTAAATGTCAAATAGGACCATTATATTCCAAATCTCTCTTAGTCTTTTATTATATTGCCGAAATATTTCATTTTTCTACACTTGCCTATGTAAAGCAGTTTGCAGTCCTAAAATTGTTCTTATGGGAATATTTATCAGTTGTTTGTAGGGTATTTTGTTAATATAAATCAATATAACAATGCATAACGTGTACAAACACAGAAACGATGATAGAGAATGACAAAAGCAACTGACACAAAATGACAAATGACTTCGATGACATTGTCAACAGTGTTGCCAATGTAGTGTCCGGTGATTTCTGTTCCACAACCTACAAAAAACTAACAAAACAAAAATATATTTTATAGTTCAATCATAAACCGTATTTAAACAAAAAATCCTCTATTAGATTTTTCTAATAACTAAATTACCTACTACGAATTAAGCCATGTGGACACATTTTTATTTATTTATTTATTATTGGACTGTTATTTATCTCAATTTTATCGAAGATTTGTGTATTTATTTTGTATTGTATTTTGATAATCTTGAGGTAAAATATGAAGAGTTTTATTTATTTTCGTTTAATAAGCAATTTTTATTTGGTTGACGATATTTTTTATATAAAAAAGGTTACTCTAAGTTTACAACGATATTAATAATTGCATTTCGAGCTAATCATTTGGATCGATATATTGTGGAATGTCTCAATTGTTACAGAAAAGTTGTTACATTTCTTACGAATTTGAAATTTTTGTTCTTTTATTATTTTACTCGATGTTTAATAAATTATTACAAAAGACAAAAAAAATAAATATGTATCATACTCACAAGCTGTTTTATAATCACAGTTCAGAATAAAGTGCAATCCACGTACAAATAATGTTCTTAGATATATTTTAAGACATCAAAACTAAACACTACAGAAAAAATTTTAAATTTTCAATTATCAAACGGTTACTAGGAAATACAAATTGAAAATGAAAAGCCCTCACGGAAAACTGTATGTATGAATTTGCTGGTAGTGCCCATATTTTTTTATGTGTTAGTTGTGTGAGTTTTTAGAACATGCGTCGATAGATAGTACATATTATTAATAATGTACATATTATCACTAATAATGTCAAAGCAGTGTCGTTGCGCGACTTCATTTTACCTTATCTTTGGTACCTCGAGATTTTAACAGTTGGCAACCCTAATTTTTGACCACTTATTCTCAGAAAACCTCATATCATCATAATAAGATTTGATATAAAAACGTGCATTACTATTAATTGAATTAAAAATAATTGCGGTCACTGTTTGACGGATAACCTATTAATTATGAATGTATTCTCCTAATTTTAAATCGAACGTAGTGATCCTTTCTGTGGGATTGTACTATCAGTATTATTCTTAGTGTAATATATATACTTTTTTATTGTTAAATGAATAAATAATAATACATGAAGAATAAATAACCACAAAATATTTTTTAGGAGCTTCTCTTCGAATTGTACCCTCACTATTTTAGGAATAAACCGAAAGCTGATAATCTGCTTAAGGAATTTAGCCCTATAATAAAGGTAAGACATACTATTTTTGTTTTAAATGCGATGTTATGTTTTACTATAGTATTGTTTTTATCAATAATAGAGTCTTAATTATTGATAGCATAAACCCTCTAATAGTAGTGCGCAGTTTCTATAAAGCTGTTAAATACATAAACGTTGCCCGATTTTTACCATTTTTTACAATTCTTGTGAGATCAGTAAAATGTATGACTGTCAATGCCAGTATACTCTTCACAACCTATAATATGAAATTTCGATTTGGATTTTTACAACAAATATCAGGTGTTTGAAACATGCCTAAAAAACGTTGAATTTATACTTTTACATTATAAACAATCTAAAACATTTAGAATCATGGAAGCATCTCCCGTAACGAGAGATCGTTTTTAATGTGATAGTTTAAATTCAGCGCTCTGTAAGCATGTTTCAAACGACTCATATTTGTTGTCAAAATTCAAAATAAAAATTTTATGTATGGAATGGAAACTGATCAATTTATTGATCTCATGAGAATCGTAAAAATACAAATGTTGCATACGAAAGCGGCACTCTTCACACTATTCCGAAACGATTTTCTTGTGGCATCTTAATGCAATAGCAATATAATAATTATTCAAGAACGATTTTCGAAGTGGAAATCGAAACGTTAAAAATAAACTTATTTGAACTTATATTGTGACTTATTCTCAACGAAAATAGTAATTAAACTCTTTATCGGTAAAACTAGTTTTAATTTTCGCCGATAGGACACTCTGGTGAAAAGATATCGAGTTTTTACCGTCGAGTTAAAATAAATTTTGTTCAAATTTTTTTTCGCTTGCATAACCAACCTTTGAAATCCTTTGCTTTAAATATAATTAACTTCTTTATCAACTCTTCTCTCCAACTTCTTCTAGGCCTTCCTGGTCTCCGCCTACCTCTTGGTTGCCATTCAAGAATTTGTCTTGGTATTCTATTCTCCGGCATTCTCCTTACGTGTCCGTACCATCTGAGTTGTGTCGTTTTGATGTCATCAACAATATTATGTGTAACCCCATGATTTCTCGGACTCTCTCGTTTGTTATTCTGTCGCGTCTAGAGATTCCCGCCGAGCGGCGCCAGAAGTCCATTTCTGTTGCTCTAAGCATTTTCTCTGTTCTGTCTTTTAGGGGCCACACTTCGCATCCATATGTTGTGATACTTTTTATTATGGTGTTGTATATTCTTCTTTTATTTTCCTTAGAGATGTTTTTATCCCACAGTACGCTGTTCAGTAAGGCTATGCCTTTCCTTCCTGTGTATTTCGTTCCTTAATGGCTGCATCTAATTTTCCGTCCTGAGTGATCTTTACTCCTAGGTATTTGTAGTCGTCACATAGTTTGATCTCTTGATTTTCCTCTACGACAAGGTTATGTTGATCTCCTCCGATACTCATGTACTCAGTTTTTTCCATATTCACTTCCAAACCCCACTCTGTAAACTCTTCTAATAGTTTTCGCATCATGTAACTAAGGTCTTCAGAGTCCTGTGCGATGATGACCTGGTCATCCGCAAAGCACAGAGTGTACAAAGTTAAGTCCATTAGTGGTATGCCCATATTCGTACATTTTTTCTTCCATTTGTTGAGTGCTGCTTCGAGGTATATTTTGAATAATGTTGGGGATATACAGCATCCTTGTCTTAGTCCTTTAGTCACTTTGAATCCCGGTGTTATCAGATTTCCTGTTTTAATTCTTGTTGTTTGTTGGTAGTACAACGTTTTACCGCTTCAATCAATTCTATATTTATATTTGTTTTCTCCAGTGGCTCCCATAATTTATCAAGGACTTCTTGGCCACGAGCAACTTTCTTTTCAATTATCTGAGTAATAGAGAAGACATGGTCTATTGTAGATCGACCTGCACAAAAACCAGCCTGTTCTTCGGCTTCCACATCTTGGTATTCTCTTCTATTTGATTTTTATTATTGTCCCATATATTCTGCTAATACTACTAGTATAACTACTACTACTACTAACTGTATTAATATTAACTTATATTCTGCTACAAATTCTAGACTTAAAAAATTTAAGTCTTTTTTTAAATGCACTTAAATCTACACTTACTGAAAATCTATTAGCTAAATGTATGGAACCTCCATTACTTTTATGATGTCTTTGTTTAGCTAAAAAGTTTATCCGTGAATGTCAAGGTAATATCCAAATATTGCAAAATATTGCAAAATATTGCAAAAAATTTTAACAAATATGTGTCTAACTTAGTTGACAAATGGTGGAATAACAAAAATTCTCCAACTTTAGCTGTAACATTTCCTAATGTTTCTTCCTACTTAGAAATCCCAGCCGAACCAAATTTCTTCCAATATAATTTCAATATTCTTTATTCCCAAACCAAAATTTATTTTCTTACTTTTAATTATAACACCGTAAGTCAACTTCAGAAACAACAAAATCCATTTTAGGAATTGGTTGTGCGTATACGCCAAACAATCTAGAACACATTATGTTTCAATTAAACCAACAATGTTCCATTTATTCCGCAGAACTGTTTACAATATATCAAGCTTTGAAATTGACTATTGAGAAAAAAATGTCTGATCAACCAATAGTAATCCTGTCAGATTGAAAATTAGCGTTCTCTGCTTTAGATAATTCGCATAAGCATATATACAAAAACAGTATTTTCAAAATGTTCTTCTTCTTCTTCAAGTGCCTTGTCCGTTGCGAACGTTGGCTATTAACATGGCAATTTTGATCTTGTTTGCGGCGCTTCTGAATAGTTCGACCGATGTGAGCCAGAACCCCTTCCGCAGATTTTGGAGCCACGAGTGTCTTCTCCTGCCTGGCCCTCGCTTACTGTCTATTTTTCCCTGGACAATCAATTGTAGCAGACGGTACTTATCGTGTCTCAATATGTGGCCTAGATATTCAAGCTTTCTTTGTTTAATTGTATTCACGATTTCTTTCTCCTTTCTGACGCTGACGGAGACGCTAACGAGAAAACTAGGAGATTGTCCAGGGAAAAATAGACAGTAAGCGAGGGCCAGGCAGGAGAAGACACTCGTAGCTCCAAAATCTGCGGAATTGGTTCGGGTTCACATCGGTCGAACTATTCAGAAGCGCCGCAAACAAGATCATCAATTGCCATGTTAATAGGCAACGTTCGCAATGGACAGGGCACTTGAAGAAGAAGAAAGGGACATGCTGGTATCTCGGGTAACACCAAAGTAGATTATTTTGCCATAGAAGCGATTTCCAAAGGATTAGAAAGTAGTTTTCTCCATAGTGATTTAGTCGCGCTGCTTAAACAAGAAATAAAAGAAAACTGAAAAATCGAATAGAATGACAGTGACGGAAGTAACAACCTCTATACAAAAATTGACCCTGTTTTACCTACTGCGCCTTTTGCTGCAAGAAGTCATCCCGATAAAAGAGTATATTCAATGTTTGTTAAACGCCTTGTTAATATTGCTACTGTGAAAGCCTATCATCATAGATTTAATTTAAGTGAAACAGAACTCTGCGATTGTAATGTAACACTGACGATATCAATCATTGGATGTTCGGATGTATATGTAACGATGCTACTATTAAGTATGTATTGAAAAATCTGATAAAAGAACAAATACCTCTTCCTCAGAGTCAATCTTCTATTTTATATATCTCTTATCGTAATAATAATTAATTATTTTCTGGAATTTTAAAAAGGACTAAAAGAAATATTTGGGAGGGGATGTGTATTGTGAATGTATAAATCTAGCTTGCTTCCTTCTGTCTATCCTTATATTATATATTTACCTTCTAGCCGTTGCCTGTCTTGTATTGTAATAAAATCACTATGAATGGTACCTTCACATGAAAGGTATCCCTATATTACGTAATCACTTGTTGATTCTAAATATTCACTTTAAGTTGGTTAGAGCCCTAAATGTAACGAATGACAGTATAATTTCTTGTCAATTTATTGATTTTCATAATGTAGCGTTTTTAAATAAAACGAGCGGTTCGAATTTATATAAATATATTTATTTATAACTTTACAGTTCGGTACTCTCTTATCAACTAAACTTAACTCCTAATTCCGTTACATATATATACCAAAGTATTATGTTCGAGAATATTCGGGACTAGTCCCACCTCTAATTCGTTATTTGACGGGTGGAATTTTACAGCGCTTTGATATATCGCGGAAACTTCTGGGTGCTTCGAGATGTGACCATTAGGCGAGCCGCGTTCGTAACACTGCTCCCCTCTTAGATCTGAGCGTCCCGATCAGGAACTCTATCTATAGGCCCAGGATGGTGGAATCTACAGGACTCTCCAGCTCTGCATGAACCCCTCAGAAAGAAATAACAGTCTACTGTCTTTGAAGGACACAATCTCTTTGGATTAGTGCAACACACGGTAATTCTTACACCGGTTTCTCGGAAGATCACTTCTAGCATGCTTCTGACAATCTTCCAATCCAGATTATCTAGTGCATGGCCTATCTTGGGTAAAGCCAAGTTCTTAATGTCGTAATTGCAGACGATTTTCTTCAAATTAGTCAGAGCACGCCATATATCCTCGTAGCTTGCCCTGTCTGTATACGACTTTCTGGTCACCATATACAACAAAGATCGAGAACCATCTTCTAATCTCAGCACTCTTCCAACTTTGGGCTGCTGGTTTTTTAACTCGTCCAAGCGACCAAATTTCTTATAAAATACGGATGAGATTCCTTTAGTTCATCTCAAGATCTTGGGCAACACAGTGGGCTAGAGTGACGTTATGCGGAACACTAAAAAGATCCTGCTGAACTTCTGTCGTCACGCCGAATCTAGCACTCTTTCTCTCTGCGTAATTTGACATAAACTCATTAAAGCTTGGTCGTCGATCATCTTTGATCTCATGTTGAAGGGTTCGGACTTCTTCGGTTTCGTTTGAGCCAGCATAAGGTGCAAGACGATTTATGTGAACTACTTTTGGTTTACCTTTAGGCAACTTCTTAATTCGGTATATTACGTCATTTATTCTCTTTTTAATTTCATACAGA